TATTTTAAGGCTGGCATTGCAGCATGCCCGCTCTCTCTCTCAGGAAAACGGGTAGTGACTACATGACTCACCACGCTCAGGGCAGATGGAGGCAGAGACCAAGGCAGGCATGCTGCGGGGGGCGGGGGGGTGCACTGCGGGGATAGGGGGGTCCTGGCACTGCTTGTTCGGGAGGGGATCAGACCCTCTTCTGTACTGGGAGGGACTATCCAAGGAGCCGAGACAACCAAGGGCCCAGCAGTGTAACTAGACCAAGTGTCAAATATGTGTTATGTATACATATATGTAACACAAATACATTATCGTGTTAAATATTGCATATTATGCATATATACAGAATCTAGAAAAATGGTACAGCTGAACCTATTTGGAGGGCAGCAATAGAGACACAGATATAGACAACAGACTTGTGAACACAGCAGGGGAAGCAGAGGGTGGCACAAATTGAGGGAGTAACATTGAAACATACACATTGTCCGTGTTAGTCGATCAGTCGTGTCCAACTCTTTGCGACCCCATGGACTATAGCCCACCAGGCTCCTCCGTCCATGGGGTATCCCAGGCAAGAATACTGGAGGGGGTTGCCATTCCCTTCTCCAGGGGATCTTCCTGACCCAGGGATCAAACCAGAACCCAGGTCTCCCACACTGCATGCCGATTCTTTCCCACCAGCTGGGCCACCAGGGCAGCCCATTAGCGTATGTGAAACAGATAGTCAGTGAGCGCAGCCCAGTCTCTGTGACAACTAAGAGGGGCGGGATGGGGTGCGGGTGTGCGGGAGGCTCAAGCAGGAGGAGACAGATGTGGATCTACGGCTGATTCACGTTGCTCTATGACAGAAACCAACACAACATTGGAAAGCAATTACCCTCCAATTTAAAAAATACGTATGTGTTATATGAGATATTCCTTCTTATATGCACTATCTGATGGGGGTCAGATCTGGGACAGACCCCCTCCCAGGAGAACCAAACAGGTAAAAAGCCAGGTTGATGGGATAGAGGAACCTTTCTCTGCTTCTAAGAGGTGATATTAGATCTGAGCTTGAAAGACGGGCAGAATTTACCAAGGGCAACACAAGGTGGCCAGGCAAGCTGAGGCCGAATCAGAAAGACGGGAGAGGGTCTAGACTGCGGGGGATTTGAGGAGGATCGTGGGGGAGCAGTCACAGGGCGGGATGGTAACAGATGGCAGAGGGTGCCGGTCCCCGGCGCAGAGCCTGCGGGGAGGCCCTGAAGGCTTGGCCCTTGATCAGAATGGCTGCGCCCCTTGAGGAGACTTCCCCAGCAGGGACGCAGGCTTGCCCCTCCGTCACCCAGGTCTAAACTCAGGGACGGGAGAGAGAGGCAGGGCCCGGGGCTCCCCTAAAGACGCAGCTCACTCCTGTCACCTGTGCCTCGTAAGCATCCTCCTCTGTAACATCCGCGTGGTGCTCTTGACCTTCGTGAAGGTGCCCCTGCTTGGGGCCTGCTGTGTGCTGTGCCGCGGCTGAGCAGTCTGGGGCAGCCCAGGGGTCAATGAGCTGGGCTGAGTGGGAGAACCGCAGCGCGCTCACCACCAACACCCGCCCGCCCGCCCGCCCACCTGCCTGCCTGCCAAGCAGATGGAGAAGAAGCTCCTGACTTCTTATCAGAGAAGGAGCAGTGATTTCAGTCCCAAAGGAGATGAGCGTTCCTGCTGCAGTGAAGATCCCTTTCATCCTGGCCTCGGAAACCTGACGGGGCCTCTCTGCCTCCTGCAGCCCCTACCGCAGGATCAAAGAGAGGAGAGGAGATGGTGTTCCCCTTACACACGGGGTCCTCGGAGGACCCTGTGATCTGGAGCAGGGGTTGTCCTTTCAACGCCTCCGTCCCTGTGACTCTAGAGGGGGGCAGCTCTTCCGAAGATAATTGACTAAACCTTGTTCAGGGCCCCTGCCCAACAGTGGGTTTCAAAATTCTAGACACATCAGTTTACATAAAACTGGAATTAAACGGAAAAGCTTTGGGACTTTCCTGGTGGTGCAGTAGTTGGGAATCCGCCTGCCAATTCAGGGGGACACAGTTCGATCCCTGGCCCGAGAGGATCCCGCATGCCTCTGGGCAGGTAGGCCCATGCGCCGCAACTCCTGAGCTCCAGACCCGGAGCCCCACAGCAAGACAAGCCACTGCAATGAGAAGCCCGTGCGCTGCGACGGAGAGGAGCCCCCTTGCTAGGCAGGACTAGAGAAAGCCCGCACCCAGCAACAGAGACCGCATGTGGCCAAAAAAATTAAAAACTATTCTTTAAGAAGCTTTAACGAGTGTCTAGATGGGCAAGGACTCCCCACCATGGGCTGGGTGTACAGGGGTCCACCAAGCCCACTTTCTGTCGCATCCATACCTCCTAGAGGAAGAGTGGCCTGAACACAGATAATTGAAGATGCGGTTGGTCCAGAGCCCAGCTCATGTGTTTGTGAGCTGTACACTTGTGCTGTACATTTCCTATTAAAATCTATGGATTTCCTGTGCTCCTTTGAGCTTTTGTTGGGACACTATTTTCATTTTTTTATGTATGAGAGGATGACCCATATATTCTAGAGGGTGTGAAGTGACCCTAAATCAAACACAAGAGTTAAAACATATCTGGCAGTTGTGACTTGGCAGCAAGTAGAGGGAAGAGACCTAGAAGATACCTTTTTATCCCCTCACGGAGGTCGTGATTAGACTCCCTACATGTAGATGCAAACTGTAACTGATGGTTCTGCTAGTGGTTTAGTCACTCAGTCAGGTCTGACTCTTCGCAACCCCATGGACTGTAGCCTGCCATGCTCCTCTGTCCATGGGATTTCCCAGGTGAGGATACTGGAGTGGGTTGCCATTTCCTCCCCCAGGGGATCTCTAGGAGGATGATAATGGGGAAAGCATTGAGAAACATTTCTCCAATCTGTGATTGGGGCAGTCCCAGTGCACCCAGACTCAGGAGGGGAAGGAAGCCCCAACCCTTAATAGGAGGAGCGTCAAGGAACTTCGAAGTCATGCTTTAAAGCTGCCACACACAAGTCTTGATCCAGCACCTTCATATCACAGATAACAACAAGGAGACGTGAAGGGCGAGGGCCCTGGGTGCCCAGTTGCAGAGCCAGGTAGCAGAGTCGAGTTTGCCCCTGGACCAGCATGCGTCTGGCTCACCCACTGTCCCCACAGATCCATCTGCGCTCTTGAGAAGGTCAGTTCCCAAGCCTGCTGAGGGCACCATATGGCCCCAGGCATAAATACCACGCAGGCACACAGTGTTCTGAAATTCTCTGCTTTGCTCAGAAGTCACAGACTGTACCCATAACCTGCATGGATTTATGGACGTGTTTTATTTTGATCATAGTATTTTATTAATGGAATCTGTTGCCTGTATGTGAACATGAGGGATTTCACTTCCAGCTTCTCTTTATTTGCCATGCCATGCAGCCTGTGGGATCTTAATTCCATGACCAGGGATCGAACCCACACCCCTACTTTGGAAGCATGGAGTCTCAACCACTGGACCCGAGGGAAGTCCCCCAGCTTCTCTTTTAAAAGTAGCAATGGCTGAAAGCAGCGGACCCACAATGCCACATCCTCTACATGGCATCAGAGTGTTATAAACCTACCCAGGGCTCCCCTGGGCCTCCAGGACACCACTAAAACTTGAAGATTGGAAAGGAAGCATAAAAGTGTCCCTTTTTTCAGATGACATAATTGTCTATGTAGAAAATCCCATGGAATCTACCAAAAACAAACAAACTGCTCAACCAATAAATGAGTTCAACCAGATTGCAGGATATAAAATCAATGCACACACAAAAGAATCATATTTCTAGATACTAGCAACAAGTTTTTAGAACATAAAACACTATTCGTAACTGCTTCCCCCCAAATAAGAAATACCTGGGTAAAAATCTAATGGAACCTGCATAGCATTTGTGTGCTAAAAGTTGCAAAATGCTGATGACAGAGGTCAAAGAATATTTAAATAAGTTGAGAGATACACCTCATTTGTGGACGGAAAACTCAACATAGTAAAAATGTCAATTTCCCCAATATTGATCTATGCAATTGCTTGTTTATTGTATTGCATGCATGCGTGCCCAGTCAGTCCAGTCATGTCCGGACTCTTTGCAACCCCATGGACTGTAGCTCACCAGGCTCCCCTGTCCATGGGAATTCTCCAGGGCAGAGGGTTGCCGTGCCCTCCTTCAGGGGATCTTCACTGACCTGGGGATCTAACCCAGGTATCTTAGTGTCTCCTGCATTGGCAAGGAGGTTCGTTATCACTAGCGCCTCCTGGAAAGCCCCCAGCCCCTCCTAACTGCAGGGGCTTCAGAGACTCTGTCCTTGGCCCTGAACTCTTCCCTTGACGATTCCCCCTCTCCCCGGGCTCCGGTTTACTGCCCCACACATCTTCCCTCCAGCATCAATGCTCTAACCCACATCTCTAGCTTCCTACTCTTCCTCTATGCCTGGTAATCCCAGTCTCATGGAGAAAACCAAGCTCTGTTTCACCCTAGCCTGCTCCTGATTTCCCTATTTCTCTCAATGATGCCTACCTTTCTGGTCTTCCAAGCTTGACATCTCTGTACTCCCAGACTCTTTCTTTCAGACTTTATCCTACTCATCAGCTGGGTAAGCCTTCCTAGAACACATCCATGACTCCAAGTTGATCTGCTCAAATTCATCCAAGTGTCTCCAGTCAAAGCCTGAGTAGTTGGATTCTAAACCCCTTCAACACACCCCTACCCTAGTTTTCCTAGGTCTTCCTAGGTTTTGCAGTTAAAACTGCACTGCCACAACTTCATCCCACTGGAATACGAAATACACGGCCACCATGGGAAACTGCATGTGAACCTCACGCTCCGCTGACTGGTCTTCTCGGACTGACTATCACAATGAGTATTTTCTGGCTCCGTTTTCACTTTTGCTGCTGCTTCTCTGAATATGTTCCTTCCCCCAGCTCCCCAACCCCACCTTACCACCCCACTCGACTGAAATTGTATACCTCCTTTAACATCAGTCTCAAATATCACCTCCTCCCACCCATCCAGCCAGTGTGACACAATATTTTCCCCTCTGACATCATGAAGCATCTCACCTGTGACTGCCCAGTGGCCCTGGCCAGCCCTGCCTGCACTCTACTGACTTGTGAGTTTATCTTCCTTAGAAAGTGCATCGCAAGCTCTCCTCTCGTCCATTATTATGCTTTCTATACCACCCTATGTATATTTTATGGTCACGATTAGTATGTGCCTCTTTAGAATGAGGTTTTCCTTCAGCCGAGTCTGGGTCCAGCCCCAGCTCTCCTTAAGATGCCATGAATGTCCTCACCCTTATGGGAGACACATTAGAGCTTAGGTTCAGAGAGCAGCAGCCCTGCCGGACAACTCAGTGCTCAGAGGAGCTCTCAGAGGAAAAGGGTCACTACGGGTGCAGAAAGGTGAGTGGAAAGGTTGACAGACTGTGCAACTCTTGCCTGCAAACTTCAGGGAGGGAGTGATGGATATACATCCAAGAACCAACCGAGCACTCTCCTGGGCTAAGGGCACCTATGGTTATGGTGGCATTGCACGATCCCAACGTGGGGAAGCATCTCCTTCCCTCTGTGTCCTGTGCCCTATGCTTGGAGCTATGTCTGCCTCTTCTGCAAAGACGGTTAATTGTTGATAGACGGTCTCAACCAAACTTCTCCTAAACTGGATAAACCTGGACTCTCCATCGACTCTGTGCATGGGAGACCCTCCAAGTTAGGGAATTACCGGAGTGATATTAGAGGTATCCACTGCCTCCTTCTACCATCACTGCTCCAAACAGCCACAGAATTGTAACTTGAAGCTGCTCAGTCATGGCTGAGCCAGACAGAGATGCACTCAGCCAAGTCAGACACCGGTCACAAGGGCACAAGAAGGCTTGAAACCAAAGAGGCATTGGAAAAGAGGAAGAAACCCTGAGGTCACAAGACAGCAGGCAGCTGCATGAGCAAACTCTGTCAGGACTAAACTCCCTTGGGATTGTCCCAGAGGAGCAGATGGAGTCCTGTGAGCCCAGGACTGAAGCTGGGAGGGGTGTGTCCTCAGGCAGCCTCCTGTCTGCAGGCGGGAGGTGGTCATTTTCCTGGCAATGCTGAACCAAGAAGCTTTTGTGCCAAGGAGAAGAGTAAAATGTCAGGCCTCTGAGCATGCAACTTCCAGAGAATTCTTGCCCTTGGGACGTGGGTGTGAGGCCCAAGAATCAGGGGATCTGGGGAGGAGAAAAGAGAACCCCCAAGCAAGGGCAGGGGTGACGGAGCCCTCCCTCACCTGAGGACTCAGAACGAGTGTCTTCTAAGATCCGGGACCCTCCCTGGACCAGTGCCCCCAGAAGACCTGAGTCCTTCCAGAATCTAGCAACTGCTGCCCCCCTGCCCTGGAGCCCAGAATCTGAAGGTCTCTCTTGTCCAGTCTGAAGAGCTGTATTCCTGGAAAGGGCGTTCCTGGGGACAGCATGCTGCACAGTGGACCTCGCTGGTCAAGCTGTCTCTCTCTTCCTCCAGGGCGCCTCTGAGGTCTGTTCACCCAGAGGACAGCCCCGACCATGCCCAGGAACAGGGGCAGCTTCAGGAAGACCAGGAGCAGGAAGTGGACATTGCTGAGCCAGGACCTGTCGGAGACACGGTGTCCGGAAATGAGCTGCCGCCTCTGGAGGAGGTCCCAGGACCCTTCCCACCCCTGCCCCCTCCCGCCGCATCCTGACACTGAAGCCTAGATAAGGTGAAGTTGCTCAGTTGTCTCCAGCTCTTTGCAACTCCGTGGACTGTAGCCCACCAGGCTTCTCCATCCATGGGATTTTCTAGGCAAGAGTACTGGAGTGGAGTGCCATTTCCTTCTCCAGGGGATCGTCCCAACCTAGGGATCAAACCCGGGTCTCCCGGATTGTAGGCAGATGCTTTACCATCTGAGCCACCAGGGAAGTTCCTAGATAACTCAGGATCAAACCCGGAAGAGACCCAAGTCAGGGCAACCCCTCTCTGGGGTTCCTGTCATCATTCCTGCCTCAGGAACTGCCCTTGGGACTCTCCTTAAGGGCAGGGAATGGAACGGAGAGAGGAGAGGGACCAGGCAGCGCCTGCTTCCAGAAGCATGCATCCAAACTCAGCCTCTCCATCCCTTTCCTGCACACAGTTTCCCCTCTTATCGGCTGACTTCTTACAGCCAGTCCTCACCCACACTTTAGAGACATCGCCCCCCATTCCCTTCAGGGTCTGACAGCATCACAGCCCATCTGGGTATCTTTGGAAGGAGGAGACAGACCCAAATGTCAGCCTGGAACCAGCGCACCTCCCACAGATCCCCCAGGCAGCTCCTGGAAGCAGAATCTCTGGTAGAGTAAAGACCTTTTAGATGAGAGCCTGGGCTAGGGGCCGCGGAATCAGGCCCCTGCATCCAGAGCCCCGTGAGAAGGGAGACGAGGAGGGGGGGATGAGAGGAGGGGCTTCAAGTCCACCTGAAACCAGCCTCCATCTATGTCCCTGCAGCTGCCCCTCGGGAGAGAGGTTCACAGAACGGGTGCTATCCTCCACTCTACATGCAGCTTTGGAGACTATAAACATCAGAACCAGAGCTGGAGGGAAACCCAGCAGACGGTGAGGTACAAAGGTCATGGCACGCTGCCAGCCCCCACCCCAGGGCCCCTAAGGCTGCTGACCCTCCTTCCCCATGGTCTCCAGGCCTGGGGCCCTTACCCTGGGCAGTGGCTTGACATCTCCTTGATGCTGAGGTTCTGTCCATCACTCACTGTCGGGAAGGTAGCCGGTACAGCCGGACAGGCGATGCTCCCTGGCGCTGGAGATCAAAGCACGCCCCAGGCATCACTGTCTCCCCAGTCCCACACTAAACACCCATGTGGTTCTGATGTCACACAGAATCATCCAGTGACCACTACTTCCTACTGAAGAGAGTCAGTGTGTTCAGGGGTCTCTGCCTCTCTGTAAGGGCAAGAGTGGTGCCGTGTGTGGGGTACCTATGCCCCCCAGCCCATGCCAAAGCTGAAGGGTCAGGTGCCTTCCTCCCTGACTGCACCCTAGGCTCCTCCCAACACCAGTGAGACAGACGACAAGACAAGACCCAGGACACTGTTCATTAGCGCCCATCCTTGTCCGCGAGCCCACTCTTTTCCCATAAGCTCTGCTGCTGGACCAAGGGGAGCTCTTACCTGGGGAAACAGACACCTCAACCTGGACCGAGGGGTCCAAGGACAGCACGTCCAGGATCCAGACAGTCTGAATTCGACACCAGTAGGATCCAGTGTCGTTTATGTTGAGGTTCTCCAAGGTCACTGTGAAGGTCAGGTTATCAGTGTGGTCTCTGATGGACACGCGGCCGTTCCTCTTTTCTTTCTCCTCTCCTTTGGTCTCTACAATCTTGCGACACGCTATGTCATACTTTCCTCGGCACCAGTATTTGTTATGCCCCTTGTACGCCTTCTCGTACTGACACCGAATACGCAGAGAGCTCCCCGCGGTGCCCGCCACAGAACCGGGGCCTGTCAGCGACAGAGAGCCTGGAAAACACAAGCCAGATCCCAGGACTCCGTCCCAAGAGGCCCCATCAGCCGCTGTTTGCTTGAAGCCCAAGGGGAAAGTTACCAGGGAGGCGTGGACCATTCCAGGCTCGGGGATGGGGACTGGAGAGACACCTGGATTTAAGACCTAAGCCAGAGGGTCTGGAGACGGCGGGCAGCAGGACCAGTTCAGACCTCTGCCCGGAGACCCAGACATGCTGCCTGACTGCACGGGTACCCTGTCCCTGGGAACACGGAGAGTCGGACCACAGTTGGAGGTGGGAGTAGAGAGAGCTGGCAGTCCTGCCCTGTTCTATTTTGTTGTTTGCTTGCTTTGTTTTAATTTAGACTTTTTATTTTCTACTGGGGTATAGCCGATTAACAACATCATGATAGGTGAACAGGAACAATTTGTTTCAGGTGAACAAGAAAGGGACTCATCTGTAAATACACGTGTCCATTCTCCCCCAAACTCCCCTCCGATCAGCCTGCCCCGTAACATTGAGCAGAGCTCCCTGTGCTACACAGCAGGTCCTCGTTGGTTTTCCGTTTTAAATATAGCAGTGTGTACATGTCCATACCCAGCTCACTAAGTATCCCGTCCTCCCATCAGGCCCTCCCGGCAACCAAAAGTTTGTTCTCCAAGTCTGTGGGTCTTTTTCTATTTTGTAAGTTCATTTGCATCATTTCTTTTTAGATTCCATGTATAAGGGATGTCATAGGATATTTCTCCTTCTCTGACTTGCTTCACTCAGTATGACACTCTTTAGGTCCATCCATGTTCCTGCAAAGAGCTTCATGTCGCTCTTTTTACTATCCTGCCCTGTCCTTAACCCTGTAGCCTCTGCCGGCATGAGGTTTGGTTGTGTTAACCAAAATACTTCCCTTTGGAGTAAGATTTCTGCATCCTGGGTGTTTTGTAATTCAAACTATTTCTTTAAGAGTACAACTTCTTGGGATTTCCCTGGTGGTCCACTGGTTAAGAATCTGCCTTGCAATGCAGGGGACATGGGTTTGATCCTTGGTCAGGGAAATAATATCCCAAATGCTGAAACGAAGAACCCACACACTGCAACCAGAGTGTGTGAGACACAGCAGGAGACCACACCTGGCACACCAAAGACCTCACACACCACAGCTGAGACCTGATGAATCAAGCAGTCTTTTAAGAGTATAACTTCTTGTTTACTCTGCTCTTCACATGTTCTCAAGGGAGAAAAGATAAATCTCTGGCTTTCATCACAGACCCTCAGATTTAGAAGGCGGCTTATAAGATCTCAGTTCAATTTTCTACCTAACCCACAAATATGTCAAAAGCAAATGTTCATGAAATATGTTGACAAGTGATATCAAGGTACTGGTGTTTGAATGGGGAAGCTGGGTTGGATTGGGAAGGAACTTGTAGGTCTAAGTTAAAGGTAGCATCCAAGTTCTTGGATTGGCCAGTGAGCTCACAGAAGTTTGCTAAATTATATATGATTAACATAAAAGAGGGCCTTCTATGGACCAATGATGAGAAGGCATCCAGCCAAGAACCAACCCAATCTGGACACCAGAAGTTAACAGAAAAAAGAAGATTCTACTAATTCCAAGAGAGTACTCTCCTATGTCCTGCTAGAATGTGCCTGAATGCAAGATTAGCAGGTCTTACGTGGGACTATATAAATTCGTGTGTGCATTTTTTAAGGAGAGTGTTTTCTGGTTGCTTGACGTTCACAGGAGCGAGAGTCGGAGAGCAATGTGTTCAGAATGGAAACACTAGGTAGTCAGCAGAGCAATCTGCAGGACACACCTTGAGTGGTTTTGTGACTATCACAGGCTTTGCTTTGTTCTAGAACCCCGTGGTCATCGGAAAGAGCCCTGGGGCGGAGGCTCATCTGGATTTAATTTTCAGTTCTTTCACTTACTGGATATGTCACTAATCCCTTCACGGTCTTATCTGTAAAGTGGAAATGATGTTAACTGCCCTGCTTGCGTCAGTTACTCAGAGGGGAACGGTAGGAAGGTTCCTTAAAAAAACTAAAAATAGAGCTACCATGTGACCCAGCCATCCCACTGCTGGGCATATGTCCAGAGAAAGCCATAATTCAAAAAAATACACACACCCTAGTGTCCACGACAGCAGTATTTACAACAGCCGAGACACGGAAGCAACCTAAATATCCACCAACAGAGGGATGGGTAAAGATGTAGTACATATTATATACACAATGGAGTATCACTCATCCATAAAGAAGAATGAAATCATGCCATTTGCAGCAACATGGATGGGTCTAGAGTTTGTCATACTGAGTGAAGTCAGTCAGACAAAGACAAATACCACATGATATTGCTTATATGTGAGATCTGAAAAATGGTACAGAGATAGAGTCACAGATGGAGGCCACAGTGTGATGATTACAGGGGGAGAGTTGGGGAAAGGATAAACTGGGAGGTTGGGATCAAAATATACACGCTACTGTATATAAAATAGATAGCTAATAAGAACCTACTGTATAGCACGGTGAAATCTACTCAATACTCTGTGATGGCCTATATGGATAAGAACCTAAAAAAGGATGGATACATGTATATGTGTTGCAGGCAGATTCTTTATTGCTGACCACCAGGGAAGCAGCCTGCAAAGCAAGAGACCCAGGCTCGATCCTTAGGTTGGGAAGATTCCTTGGAAAAGGGAATGGTTACCCACTCCAATATTCTTGCCTAGAGAATTCCATGGACAGAGAAGCCTGGTGGGCTACAGTCCATGGGGTGGCGAAAAGTCAGACACGACTGAGCAACTTTTACTTATATCCGTATGACTGATTTCACCTCGCTATACACGTGAATGTTGTACACAGCATTGTAAATCAACTGCGATCCAATACAATTTTTTGAAAAGTTGCTCAGAGGGCTAAATTGTACCGTAGGTTTGAAAGTGTTTGTAGGTTGTAATGTGCTTAATAAATATAAGTACTGTTCTTGCTCATTTTGTATTGAAATTCACTTCCTCCGTCTTCATTCTTTTTCTCTTTGTTCTGGAATCGTCCTTACCACCTTTCTTTATATCCCTTACAACCCTCGTGGGTGCCCTCCATAAATTTAAAGTAATCACATTTTTCCATATCGTGTTTGTAACCCCAGATGGGTGCACAGGGTGGAGGAGGGAGCTGGGATGAAAAAGAAGAACTGAAACTTAAATCTTTACAAGTGACTTCAAAGTTCCGATCTGAGCCCAGATGAAACATCAGCTGCAAACGTTCTCAAGACGCAAAAATGAGGCTGTAGTTCTGGAGAGTTCAGCCAGTTCCACAGAAAGAGGTGGGAAGAAGTTTCCATCTTCAGTTTAACTGCACCCAGGCTGGGGCTCTTAGACATTTTATTAGATTTAAGCAAGAAGATTAAACAAGCCCTGATATGCTGGTAAACCAACTCCCTAGGGGAGAAGCCTGATTTGTAGCGTTTGCCAGTTTCCAAGGTATGAATACTCTAGCCCATGACTGGTTTCTTTTTCCTTTTTTATTTTTTTTTAACTTTTTATTTTATTTTGGAGTACAGTTGATGAACAATGTTGCATTAGTTTTGGGCTATACAACAAAGTGATTTAGTTATACACATGTATTACATTCTACACATATGCTGCTGCTGCTAATGCTAAGTCGCTTCAGTCGTGTCCAACTCTGTGCGACCCCATAGACGGCAGCCCACCAGGCTCCCCCGTCCCTGGGATTCTCCAGGCAGGAACATTGGAGTCGGTGTATATATATATATATATATATGTGTGTGTGTGTGTGTTTGTGTGTATATATATATATATATATAATTTTTCAAATTATTTCCCTAATTACATTGTTACATATTGAACAGAACATTGAACAGAGTTCCCTGTGCTGTGAATAGATCCTTTAAATCTCCCCCTTTTCCACCCACTTTTCCAGAAGAGTCTGTCATTACATTGGGCAGGCTCTACATTTTGTGAGGGAGCCTAACATAAAAGTTACTCTAAAAGCATGAAGAAAATCCTCTAATTTTTATCCTAAACTTACAAATATCATATATTAATGCATATATGTGGAATCTAGAAAAAATGGTACAGACGATCTTATTTGCAAAGCAGAGCCACAGATATAGGGAACAAAGACACGGACAGCAGGGTGGGAAGTGGGGAGGATGGGAGGATTTGGGAGACTGAGACGGGCATGTGCACATCACTGTGCATAGAGTAGATGTGAGAACGTGCCGTGTGGCGCAGTGCTCCGCGGTGACCTCAACGGGAAGGAAATCCAGAAAAGAGGGGATGTTTGTACACATGTGGCTGATTCACTTGACTGTACTGTAGATGCTAACGCATCACTGTAAATCAGCTATACTCCAATAAAAATTGACGTTAAAAATGTGCTCTCCTGCACTGTGAATGTCTCTTTAAAGATGTTCTCTTCTGAAAGTTCAACCTTTGAGGAACAATTTGATCATGTTCTTCCAGGAGGGATTTAACGTGGAAGCAGAGGTTGCGCTTCTAGACTCTTCGTTCATCCCTCCTGACAAATCTTTCGTACCCCTTCCAACTGAGCCCGGACCAAACAGCACGGCTGCTCCTTCCTGAGCTTTCTACAGTCTCCAGTATTTCCACGCTTTTGCATCAGCTACTCCGATTTTCCAGTCATCTGACTCATTCATCCTTCCAGACTAACTCCCAGTGATGCTTTAGGGAGAACTGTATCCTTCCAGGAGCAGAACTGGGGGTCCTGTGTGCACGCTCATCACCACATGAGCGAACCTCTTCTATAGCAAGTTCCACGCCTGTCTGACTCTTTGCGACCCCGTTGACTGTGGCCCTCCAGGCCCCTCGGTCCAGGGAATTCTCCAGGCAAGAATACTGGAGCGGGGGGCTCCCCTGGTGGTCCAGTGGTTAAGAATCCGCCCGCTAAGACAGGGGACATGGATTCAGTCCCGGGCAGGGGAGATCCTACACGCTGCAGGGCAAGCACTGAGGCTGCACACCTCGGGCCTCTGCTCTGCAACAAGAGAAGCGCCCGCAATGAGAAGCCACGCGCCACACAGAGTAGCCCCTGCTCGCCGCAACCAGAGAACGTGACGAAGACCCAGCGCAGCCATCAGTAAATTCTTCTTTTTTAATTAAAAAGAATACTGGAGTGGGTTGCCATTCCCCTCTCCAGGGGATCTTCCTAACCCAGGGATCGAATCCGCATCTCCTGCATTCCAGGCAGATTTATTACTGTCTGAGCTACCAGGGAAGCCCTAGTTTCATGCAGTAGCGTAATAACTTGGCCCCTTCATCCAATCACGAGTCCCTGAGTGCATAAATTGCTCTGAATTACCACGTCCAGAACAGTCCTGGTACACAGTTGGTGCTCAATAAGTGCGTGTAGGCACACAGTGGGGCTCAACAAGTGTGTGTAGGACCACAAGATGAATGTTTGAATGTATAAAAGGCAGATGAACTCATTTCTGCTTCCCTCCCATTTCTGCTGATGCTCTGCTTCTGGCTTGAACCCAGGACAGACCTTCTACCCTTCTACGGTCCTGCCCCCTGCAATACCAAGTTCCCAAAGGCCCCAGCCCCACTCACCTGGGAGGCAGAGAAGGAGAAGAACTGAGGGCAGCCACATGGTCCTATCTCCCTGGCAGGTGGCCCAGAGGATCCAGGTCCCAGCTGAAGTCTAGGTGTCGACAACAGAGCCTGGGCCACCCACCTTCCACTTGTTTAACATTCCTTTGCGTTACTTGCTCATCTACTTCCTTTATAATTTCTTAGCTACTTCCTAATTTGAAGCCTTACTTAGAAAAAGGGGAAGGGTGGCAAGAGACACTTCAGAGAATAGACAAATCAGCAAGAGAAATCTAGCAACTTTTTTGTCCGTTTAGTAACAATGTGAGGTTTGGGTCACACCTTGGCCTTCATGATCTCAATCCCTAGATATGACAACATAGGAGACCCTTTGTCCCTTGCCTTTCTCTTTCTTCCCTCCTCTCTGGCTGCCTACTTTTGTTGCTACCGTTGTTTTTGTTTTGTTTCTGGACACACCACATCACATGTGGGATCTGAGGTCCCCCCCGCACCGGGAGTGCAGAGCCTTAGCCAGTGGAACATCAGGGAAGTCCCTTCCTGCGTCATTTCTTCAACACTGATAACAGCTGGAGGGAGGCTATGGCCCTCACTTTATTTGATCCACCAAGAGGATCAAACAAACCTCCAGTCCCTTCACTCTTGCTTTTATGTTGCTTTCTTCTGCTTTCTTTTTTTATTCCCCAATATGATCCTGGAGTTGTTTATAAAGTAAAGGAAATTCGAGTAAGCAAAATCAAGTGCTGATGGTTTAAAATATATATAAAATATGACTAATGTGGTCACATTTCACTAAAATCCAATAAGAAAGTGCACCCAGTATGGTAAATGAGTCAATACAGAGACTTCCTCCTAGACCCAAATAGGAATACTGTATAAAACACAACCCTGAAAGTTGCAATATATATAACTGAGGTCAAAATCATGCAAAGAACATCCCCAAGTGCCAGAAATTTAAAGGGAATTGAAAGCCAAGACCAGGAGTGGGACCTGATACTGAACAGCTAACGGAAACTATTAGAAATGGATAGTTCTCTTTCAGGAGGAGAGAGGCTGGCATTTAAACAGCCACTCGGGACCTGGTGGCCCAGTAGCTAAGACTCCACATTCCCAGTGCAAGGGGTCTGGGTTCAACCACATGCCACAACTAAGACACACACAGCCAAATAAATCAATAAATATCCAAATAAATAAATAAACAGCTACTCAGGGCCAGGAGCTGATGTTTCAGGCTTGTATCAGGCGGGAGCTGGAGCTCCCTGCCAAAAGCTGGGATCTGTAAAGAGACCCCACAGCCTCAAATCAGAGTGAAGGAAAGCCTCGTGGAATCATGACACCATTCTGACCGCTTACAGCCACGTATTAAAGAATCTCCCATAGAAACGGGCACCTAAGCTGCACCACATACAAATGTGAGCTCCAAGGTCAGTTTCTCATGACATGACAAGTAAAGATGTAGTATAGAGGAACTCCCCGGTGGTCTGGTGGTTAGGACTCCATGGTTTTACTGCTGAGAGTCCAAGCTCAATTCCAGGTCAGGGAATTAAGATCCCACAAGCCACACAGTGCAACACCCACCTCCCACTTCCCGCCAAAAAAAAGAAAAAGAAATATAAAAGCACGCTGGCAATCAATGAGGCTTGTAGGGTTATAAGGGATGAACACAAACCCACAGCCACACCTCCAGCCCTCCCCTTTTTTGGCACAGACCATGAGCTAAGGACAGTTTGACATTTTTAAAGAGCTGGAGGGAATATCGAAAGCAAAAATATTTCATGACATGTGAAAATTTCATGGAAGTAAAGTTTTAGCCTGAGTAAATAAGTTGTGTTGGAACACAGTTACCTTGGTTCATTTACACGTTGTCTATGTGGCTTTCCGGCTCCAACAGCAGAATGGAGTGGTTGTGGCAGAGACCATATGTCCACAAAGACTAAGATGTGTACTGTCTGGTCCTGACAAAAAGAGCTTGCTGTCCTTTGCTCTTAGGATGGAACCCTCCCCACGTGTGCCTAGCAATCGTTCTTACCCGTAATTATTGTAGAAGTGGAATTCTGAAAGGAGGACACCCTTGGGATAGTCACTGGGCGGGTAACAGGAGCTACTTTAGATGGTACGATTGTTTTTCAGGGTCCAAACAACCTAGAAAGTGACCTCAGGCCAGAGAGAGGGTTCAGGCCAAGTCCAGCCCAGCTCAGTCCAGGCCGCTTAGAGACCTGCGTGCTTCTTCCTGGCCCACACCATCTTCCTTTGATGGCCCAAGATGTGGGCACTCTTCTGGGTTCTGTTCACCTGGTACAACCCCACATGACTCCAGAGGAAGCAGGCGGTCTTCACCTGTGGAGCCACTGGCCCCCTAAGCGACTCTAGTCACACCTGGCATTCCTGCCTGGTATCTCCGGCCCCTCGCCCCAAGGGCCCAGCTGAGCCCTGTGACCTTGGGACGGCTCCATCCTGACCCCACTGGCATCTCCAACTCAACACAACCAAAGTCTAGCCCTTCTCTCTCACTCGCCCACCATCACCACCGCCACAACCACCAACATCCTGCTTTTCTTCCTCCACCCTCTGGGGTCCCCTCTCCCGACCTTTCACTTCCTGCTTTTATGCTGCTGTCTCAAACTGCCCTGAGCCCAGGAGACACCCTCTTTGATAAAAAAGGGAAATTAGCCAATGGAAAAAACCACTCTTACTACCTTGAAGTTTACTTCTGATATAGATAGACTAATTGCAGGTAATCAAAAGAGAGAAAATATAATGAGATATAAAATATGCCTAGGGCTTCCCTGGTAGCTCAGAGGGTAGAAGAATCCACCTGCAATGCAGGAGACACAGGTTCCATCCCTGGGTCTGGAAGATCCCCGGAAGGAGGGCATGGCAACCCACTCCAGTATTCTTGCCTGGAGAATCTCATGGACAAAGGAGACCGGCAGGCTACAATCCATAGCATTGCAGAGAGTCAGGCATGACTGAAGCGACTGAGCATAATATATTTAATTTAAAATATATTTAATATTAAAAGTATTCTCCTTAATATATTTCATGCAAAAAATGCTGTTTTTTAACAGCATTTAATGTTAGTTTAATTTAATTTAATGTTTAAAAAAGCTCCTAAATAGGCCAATTTATGGAGATTTAGAGTGTATTTCTGCCAAGAGCAAGTGGGGAAAGAATTCTATTTCCCTGGGACAGAGCTGGAGGAGCTGGTCCCCTCCAGGCCCCTCTGTCTGCAGGAAAGAGACTACTGTGTCCTGCAAGAATTACCCTGACAAGCCGGCGCCTGTGGGTGAGGAGAGGAACAGAGGGTCAGGTGGGCAGGGGACAGGGAGCCTGGACCTCCCAGGAGGAGGAGAAGGGGTGGGCCAGTCAAGGATGGGGTGGGCCCTGGTGACTCAGGGTGAGTGACCCTGGGCAGAGGGGACATCCACCTGTGCAGTGGGAGCTCCTAATAACGTGCTTTCACAGCCTTGAGAAATTTCACAGAAACAGCACTTGGAAAAACAGCATATGTTAAGAAACTGTGTTATGATTATTCTTCATGTTTTTCTTAGAATAATGGCCTTGTTACAAACCCCAAGGCCAGACCCAGAAAAGAGTGTGACTGGCATCATGAAAGCATGGACCTTGGAACACCGGGTCAGCGTCAGGTATGAACACTGCCCACGCACTTGCTGACTGTTCCCGAGACAATCAGAAACAGCCTGGGGCAAAAAAACAAGGCGATCTGGACTGTGTCAATGCAGTGTATTGGGAAAGATAGATCAAAGAAAGTTTGGTAGTCCACAATCAGGAATAAAAGCTGGACTCAGAGTGGACGCTACACCTCCAGTCCAATAGAGGCTGAAGGTCCCCTGACCCACTGCACCAGATTTCGTGTTCTGTTTGCATTCTCGGTGCTCCCGGACCTTTAAGGCAACACACCTGCTGGGCCCTAGAACAGGAAACAACACCACATGTGGCGAAGGGCCAGGTCCCGAGCTAGGTGTCCAGAGCTACAGAGCAGCCTGTCCGGAGCAGGAACCAAGCCAGACTCGAGTCAGGGCTTTGCTTCCTCAGAACCAGCAGCCTGCCCCCGCCCTGTGAAGGGCAGCCCCGCCCCAGCGCTCCGCACCCAGAGAAAGATCACTCATAGCAACCAAAATACAATTTAAAACTAAATGAGAAATAAAGAGCTATGGCAGTGGGTTTCAGAGGAGGGATTTCTGCCCCCAGGGGACGTTTGGCAAAGCCCAGAGACAGTGTTGCTTGTCACAGTCGGGGTGGGGGATGTGTTACCGTCTAGTGGGCAGGGGTCAAGGATGCTGTGTTCACAGCAGCGCGCGGGACGGCCCCACCACCGAGAGGTACCCAGCCCAGCGTGTCAGCAGGGCCGGGCTGAGAGACCCTCCGCTCAGGGAGAAGCGTCTCAGGCTGAGGGAAGAGCATACGCAAAGGGCCTGAGATGAGAAACCACTGGATGATCTCAAAGAACAGGAAGGAATCCAGGGGAGCCCGGCACACCGTGGGGAAGAGATGCGAGGGTCTGAGAGGGGCCTTGTCAAGCGCGGTAAAGAGCTGGACTGTTCAGTGACAGCCGTGGGAACCACCGCAGGGTTTTGGGCAGTGTGGGTTCTGGTTTATGTATTAAAACAACCACTCCGCTGTGCGGACGTGGGGAAAGGAGAAGCAGAGACGAGTCCGGTTCTGCTGTCACCGGGCAGGGCCGTGACGGCGGCCCGACGCAGTGATGAACCCAAGTCTCCGCTCCTGGGCGGTTCCGGGAGGCAGAAGCATCAGGACTTGTGACGAACTAGGTGCAAAATGAGTGGGCGGGGGTAGGAGGAATCCAGAGTGACACCCAGGTTTCCTCTGGCAAAACCGGGTCAGTGTCAGTGTTACCAGCTTGCTAGAGCTGCCGTAACAAAGGTCTTTATCTTTTCCTAATTCTGGAGGCTGGAAGTCCAAGAGCAAGGTTCGGCAGGGCTGGTTTCTCCCAAGGCCTCAGTTTGCAGATGGCCACCTTCTCGCTGTGTGGACATGGTCTTCCCTCTACGTGTGTCTGTGTCCAAATTTCTTCTTATAAAGACGCCAGTCATGTTGGGTTAGGACCCACAACAATGCCCCCATTTAAGCTTACTTCTTTAAAGACCTGAT